ATTTTAATAACAATACGCTTGAATTTTTTTATCAAATTGATCATATCAATTGAGGAGGGTAGGTCTAAAAGACTGTAAGTAGTGATGTACGTTTAATTGGTTACCTTGATCGATTAAGATGAATTTATAACTGAATGAATTACTTCCTCACTAACGGAAAATGTCTCATGAATAATACATACTCTTCGAATTAGATGGATAAGGGTTTTTATATTAAACGGCGTTTATAAAAAAATTATTATATTTAGTAACTAGCTTTCCGCCCGCAGCTTCGCCCGCGTGGAGTTCGGTTATATCGCGTTTCCAAGAGAACCTTTCAAAAGTCTGGGATAAAAACTATCCTATGTTCTTTCTCAAGGTCAACTCTATCTCTGTACCAAATTTCATTAAAATCAGTTCAGTGATTTAGGCGTGAAAGCGTAACAGATAGACAGACAGACAGAGTTACTTTCGAATTTATAATATTCGTAGGGATGCATAGTTTTACTGTAATAATCTTCTTAATGGAAATAGTAATTATTAAAAGCAATTTTTTTGTCATTAATTTTATTTATTTACAAAACATTGTGTTTTATTCAAATGAATAATCAGTTTTTTTTTTCATGAAAATAGCTACATCAACCAGTTTTAAATTTAAAATGTAACTTTGTACGAAGGGTTCCGTATGTTGAGTTATTTTTACCAGTTGTATGAAATTAGTGTTATATAGTGAAGTAGTGTCATTGTAGATTAATAAACATTATATGAAAGTTTTTTATCTATGCTAGATCATAAATATAGATTTAGAGTACTTGATTTTGCAATGGACCTCTACTTTTAGGTTGAATCATTCTAACTTTCACTTAAGTACAAAAGCTTAGTATTTTCGTCATTAAGTAAAATACAAACTCTTTCTTATTATACACATTGCATACTTATATGGCACAGAATTAAAGAGTAAGTATTAAATTAATTGAAAAAAACTTTTATGAACTTAAAATAAGTAAAAAAATATGACAAAAAACGAAAAAATTCAATACGTTTATTTGATATTGTATCTCGAATGTAACATAAATCCAGGTTTTAAAGGATTTATTAAAACAGTAGCGAATCATAATCTGGGTGATAAAGATTATGACCAAGTTGTAAATGGTATCAGATATACTACTTGTGGATTAGATTAAGCCTAACACTTCACCATGTAGGATTTACGACTGACACTTATAAAAAAATAACATTATATAAAACCTTATTTTAAAAATAACACTGGCCACTTATATTTTTTTTTAGCTGCATGTATCAATTGTCAAGGAACCAAAAAATAAAATTACATAAAACCTCATTTTTAAAATAGCACTTGTCAGTTTTTATGTTTTTTTTTTTACTGAATATTTCAATTTTCAAGGAACCAAAAAATAAAATTACATAAAACCTCATTTTAAAAATAGCACTGGTCAGTTTTAATGATTTTTTTTACTGAATATTTCAATTTTCAAGGAACCAAAAAATAAAATTACATAAAACCTCATTTAAAAAATAGCACTGGCCAGTTATAATTTTTTGAAACTAAATATTCGAATTTTCGGCCAGCCATTTGCGAAGTTAGAAAAAAAATCGGTGACGTTAATTTTATTTTTATCCATAGTCCTTTTGGCAGACGTATTTTTTGCAGAAAAATATATATTTGTTCGGTTCATATAAGTAGCAAGTCTTAACCAAGGTCGACCATCACTTGTCAATACATTATCACAGCTTTGATATTTAAGATTGTTATCACTGGTGCTTCATAATATTATATTATTCGCAAAATATATATACTATACTAGCTTTGGCCGCGACTTCGTTTATTTTTATATTATTGATATCAATAAAACCAAAATTCTGAAATAAGCCTAAGCTGCAGTAAACATAAATATATATGTATATATATTTCTATATATGTATGTATGTATACATAGCTATCTGCTTGTAAAAGTCCCTTCAAAATCGGTCCAATTATTACATAGATAAATCGAACAAACAGAAAATCAAACAATATAACAAACAAGTACTCTCATTTTATTTATTTAGGAAGATTATTACAAGTAAATTTTTTAATGGATAATATATTTCATAATTCTCCCAAAAAATATGTAAGTAATAAGTTTATTACAAGTTTTCATTACTACATTGTATACGAAGCATTTTTCTTATTAAATAACTAATTTTAATTTGAGAAGAAAATGAAAGAAAACTATTAACGCTACGTTTGTAGTACATATTACGATTAAACTTGTAGTAAATTACTTTATTGTATGCAACATAACAATGTTATTATCGGTTTTCTTCTACCTGGAAATTTCCCAGATTTAGCCAGGGTCTGCCTTACATGTTGAGAATAGTTTTGGCTAATTGTTTTTACGACCGGCCGCCTGCTTGACATCAACCCTATTTGGGAATGCATTAATCAGTGATGTCTGTACTCTTAGAAAGTACATATGACTCGGAAAAATCACATTGGTACTTGCCAGGATCGAACCCGCGCCCTCATGCATGAGAGGCAGGCCTTTTAACCACTAGGCTACTATTGACTTCAATATGAGAAAAAAACTATATTTTAAACTTACACAGTTTGAATAATGTCGAGAGAAGCAATAGTAAATAACTAGTATAAAAACACTAAGCAAATATTAAAGAATATATTTATTTGAACAAATCATTAAACACAATCATGTTATAATAAAATCTATTAAACGCAATATAATTCTAACGTCAGTTTAAATTTTAAATTGAATGAGTCGGTTATTCATTCGTTAACTCTATTACGTCTCGTTAAAGATTTTATTTGTATACATATGATCAAGGGAATAAATAAATTACAAATATTATACTAACTTCCGGTGTTTTGACTTTTTGACATTGACAGTTTAGTTGCTATCTTGACTAAAAAAATGCGTTTCAAAATAACTCGTACATGTTTTAATGAGTCATATTAATTTAATTTAAATATATTTAGTTTATTTAAATTAGTTTAATTTTCTCTAGTCATCACATTTTATTATGGAAATAGATTATTATTATATTTTCATATGTATATGTTCAAAATATATGTTTTTCTTTGAAAATGATTAGCACCATTACCAAGTGGCCGTGGAAAAAATAAAGTTGAGATCACAATATCGTGATATTGTACTAGTAATATTTCATCGAAGTAACTATTTTTTTCCATTAAATTTTCCATTCACTTACATTATAATGGTTATATTATGTTTTTAATATAAAATCATTCGAAGGCTCTAATTTATTGTGTCTTTTTCGAACAATAACTCAAATCAGTCATATGTATAAGCTTAGCCTATATATTATACATATATGTGTGTGTGTGTAACTGATTCAGGTTTTTTTAGTTGAATCGTATTTTATTTTATTTCAAAAGAAGAAAAAGAATAGAAAGAAATGAATGATAAATGAACTTAGATCTTATTATTATATTTTTGGTTCAGAGTACAGAGTTTCAGTTAAATTGTATAACTAAAATTATTGATTTTAAATAACTGTGAAAATCTTTATCTTCCCGATTACATATTGTTGTGCAAGTGTAACAGAAATGAAAAAAATATATGAATATATCCTTACAACTTATTTTAATAAGGATATTTTTTCTATTAATTAATTAGCCACTGTGTGTATCTGGCTTTATTTTATAACAGCTAGTGTCGGATTAGCGCCTGCACACATCTGTTAGAGTCCATAGAGATTATATTGTTTAATGAATAATATATATTTGTATAGATTTCTATTTGTATAATACAATATATATGTAATTAATACCAAACCGGAACCAACTTATTTAGAACTTTTTTTACAATCAGTACGCTTACCACAAGTCAAACAATATATCGTCAAACTACGTACAAACAGTTTGCCGTTTTTCGTTAAATACCTTATTTAATATATAAAATTTCTATGTCACAATATTAGTTACCATTCTCCTCCGAATCGGCTTTACCGATTTTTATCAAAATTGTGTCCGAGAATAGTGTACTACCTATTTTTCATACCACGTAGGCTTAAAGCATTGTTCACCCTCAATTCTTTCTTTTAATTTTTGACGAATTCTTTTGTTTTTGTTATTTTATAATGTAAAATCTAAATTTTAACTTTTTTTTAACCACCAACCCCTATTTTCTATATGGCAAAACCACGTTTGCCGGGTCAGCTAGTTTAATTTTATTATATAATGTAGGAAAATGCATGAATTATATTTATTAACGATCCGTATGTATTGATTGTGAAGAAAACTTGTGTTAAATATTCAGTACTTTGAACGAATTGACAAGGAAGTACTATGAGAGACTTATTGTACTTTTTATAGTTAAAATTCTTAGTAGAGCTTTGAAATATTTTGGCATAAGATATAGGATGTCCCATGATGTATTTAAAATGTTTGGAACTCGGACCAAAATGAAATATTACGGTTTTTATACCTGACAAAAATATAAGTATATTATGAAATTACCACACAACAGTACAAATGTTAGGATATTTTTAAATGATTATTTTATCTGTTTTCGAAAGATAGCATCGAATTTTTATCTCATGATTTGCAAGATAGATAACAAAAATCAAGTATCATTCGACTAGAAACAGATTTGATTTTTATATCAAAAGTAGGATTTATAATATGTTGAATTAATAATTACTATTATTTTGTTATTTTATTTGATGACAGCGTGATGATGTTAATAATAACAGTATTAGTTATTACACGTTTGTCCGATATGACAAAAAATATATATTATTGCCTTTGACTTGATTTAGGTCGCGATAACTTAGTTGACAAAGCGCCTGCATATTTCGAAAATTCCCGGTTCGAATCAAGTTAAAATATTTTCATTCTATACTATTCAATTAATTCGTTTATTAGTTGCTTCTATACGAGTGTTTAATATATAGTAGTGACTCAAAATATTGTAGTAGTATGACTTGTATAACAAAATTATACCTAGTATTTTTGTTTCAGGATGTCATAATTGGTCACAATGGATAAGCCTACGATGCATATGCTCTCCGTCCAGGAGAAAGGCGGAGAGACAAAGAAATTGAACCAGTATGTAGCAGCAGTCGCAGGTATGATAAAGAAATTTGACCTTTAATGATACTACCTTGAAAGGATACGAAACGAAAATCCTTTGGCAGTTTAGAAATAAAGCTTAAATTCTTTAACATATATATCTTCTAAATTACTCTTGTATGTTATTTGGATATAGTTTTCAATTACGTAGTGAGTGTTTAGAAATAAATTTCTGTATAAAATATAATGAAAAAGTTTTGGTGATATTATAGTTGAATTTATTTAAATAATATGCATTTTATTATTTTATCTGAAACAACTGGACTTCTCTGTGACATGATATCATGTGTTGTGTATTAGAGTAACACAACATTTTATCAAAACACACACACATACACACACGCACGCACACACACATATATGTATATATATCTGTGTTACATCTGTTCGCGTTGTTATTAATAAAATGAATATCAAACAGTCAGCCAATCCAATACAAATGCAATCCAAATTTTGTTTTCAATAAACAGTAAAGTTTGAATCGTTTTTATTTTTAGGGTTCCGTATTCCATTTAGATATCGTCTATCTGTGTGTCACAAGACTTTTTTTAGAATAAATTAAGGCGTCGATATGAAAATATAATAAATACTCCGATATTACTAATAATAATGATTTCTCGAAATCTTTCATATATTGACCTTCGTTGTGGCAATTTTCATGAATCTATGACAACGGGTGCCTTCCTACGAGTTTTTTTTTCTTTTACGTGTATCAAAATTTACGAAATATAATGAATTATAAATAACAATTAATTTAGCATTCTAAAGGATACTCAAACCTTCAATACTGACGTTTGTTTCATACAGTATTGAACCCAAAAAACACTATAACGCTATATACTATAAGAACATTTAAATTTCAAACTATTGACCTAAGGAATTATACAATTCAAATCGCACGAAACGAACGGATATAATTGAATTTGGCTCACTTACTGCATTTAAATAGATCGGGAGCAATAAACTGTTTCGAAACAGATCATAAATTAATATGTTTAGGTCAGGGTTGAAGTTTGTCTACAAATAGAAATACATTATCCACTATAAAGGCAATTAATGGGACTTTTTAACTACAATGACCACATAGAATAATAATTAATTATTCTTTACTATACTATATGTATGTGCTATTAATTAATTTAGTTGTACAATTAACAATGTGACAAAAATTCATAAACATGTCACCAGCCAAAATATAACATCGTTTGGCAATTGATGCTAACAAAATTTTAATGTACGTCGATCTTTGCTCTTTGGTCTGTAAAGATTTATTACCTATTTCCTAGGTTACGCTGAATCTATAAATATATTTGTTACAAATTATAATAAGATCATAATGAAAAAATTGTTTATATTTTGAATTGACGTAAATATTTTACTTAGACACATATAAAAACAGAATTACAAGGCTAATATGTACCTTATATACACATAGGGTTCTATCACTTTCGTTTTTTGTCGAAAATTTAGAAGATTTCGACTGATCTTTGTTTTCAAGACCAAAAATAATCATCATAATAAAACATCTGGCTTTCGCGCTAGACTAAAACATATCCTCTCCTCGTTGTGTATTGAATTCGTTGTTTATCGATATTTTTTATAGCTTCTATCGATATTTTTTCCAGCTTCTATCGGCGCAGTTGCTGCCGGAACTATCTTAGCGTGGACCTCACCAGCCCTACCACAGCTAGAGCCGCCACAGAATACTACGACGAATCTAACAGAGATCGACATATTCTTCCTCAATGAAACATCTAAAGACAATGTATCTGACGTATTAGTCAACGCTTTGGGCCAACCAGCGGATTTTTTGTTAAACACCAGAGATAGTAAGTATTAATATGTATACTAGCTGCGTCCCGCAGTGTTACGCGCGGTTTTAAGGGATTTCCGGGATGTAAAGTATCCTATGTGTTATTCCTGGACGTCAGCTTCATGTATACAAAATTTTATCAAAATCGGTTCAGCCCTTTGACCGTGAAGAAGTAACAAACATACATACACACTCACAAACTTTCGCAATTATAATATTAGTAGGATATAATCATTTCTATATTTTACTTAGAAGTGTTAATTGTTCCTTGATTATAAAAATCTTATTTACACGTCTATTCATAAGTACTTCTTCATCTAATAGTGATAATTCATCTTTTTCTTTCCTATTTAACAGGTCATAAAACTCCAATTATTTCCTAAAACTGAATCTTATCCTTAGAGATTTCCATATTCATATTTGTTTCTTTATTTTTATACATTTCTTAATTATAATTACAAGTTTACCTTTTTTCTCTATTTAAACAGGTCATAAAACTCTAATTATTTCCTAAATATCTTTTAAGATATACATTCTATTTTTATAGTATTTCTTTATATAACTTGTTTGTGATGTAGAATCCGAATACGCCGCTTGTAAATTCAAGCCACACCTACATTTTCGTGACGTAAAAGTAACTGTTGCCAAAATATCGTCATTGAAGGTTGTCGGAAATCACATGATAAGAAAAATATTGTATTTTAAACTGTAAATCTTTAAGCTTTGTAGGCGGTACTAAATATAATAGTTCGTTAAATTCAAATTACATAATATTGTTCAATAGAATAAAATTACAAATATTCCTATAAGTCCTAACAAAATAGTTTAGTTTATTTCTATAAACGCCTGAATGTTACTTATTAGCAATTAATAACTCCCAAATCTTAATATTTAGACAATTTATTGTAAGGATAAAAAAGATAATTTTTTCATATTTATTTACAAGGCCAATAAATGGTCGGCTGATAAGACATCGTATCACGCTTAATGGATGACTTTCGATATTGTAATAAATTAAATGTAGACCCAAATAATAAAATGACGAATAAAGCTAATATAATAAAAAGGAATTTTTTTTTCGATAAAATAATAAGATTTTTATACTTAAGATGATTAAATATTTATAATTCAGCGTATAAATATTAGTAGTCACTTAGTAGGTTTTAATACTTTTTGAACAATTGTGTCTTGTAATGAGATTTAAGATTTTCGGGAGTATTCGGGAGTATAATTTAAATTGTCTTGTTTAAAAATCTTAAATACTCGTATAGTGATGAAAAGACTGTAAAGAAATTATAACATATATATGTAAATCTATCAGTCTAATGTTCACAAATGAATCTAATGTTTTTCGGATATACAAAGCGTGATTTATTTTTGTAAAAAACTACATACTCCCGGCTTTACGGTTACTTTTCAGCAACCGTGATCACGGGCAGACGAGATGTGAATGTCTGTCGGTTGGTCCTATTATTTATCATCTACCACCATCGATTTCTTGATTTTCTGGCGTACCGATCTAAAAATTACTTCCATTTCAATCAATACTCGCGAAAATCGTAGATCTCTTATGGTTTTTTATATGCCGTAGCCCCAAGTCAAGGATATATTAGATTTAATAGCTTTTTTGGACCTTTTTTCTACTTATTCATGCTAATTATTCCTAACCAGGTTCATTAGTGTCGTCTATCCTTGCAATTGGAGCAGCGATTAGCGCTTTACCTGTCGGCTTTTCTGCCGAGCGTTTCGGAAGACGCCCAACGATTCTGATGCTGGCGTTACCGTTTCTTCTCAACTGGTTGCTCACAATATTCGCTAATGGATCAGGGATGCTCATTGCTGCAAGATTTTTTGCTGGTTTGGGAACAGGTATGTATATTAGAGTTTTTCACGACTTCTTTGGTCTATTCTGATAGTTTTCGGGCCCCACGATACAGGTCTCCTAGTGTGGGGTCCAAATATAATCAAAATTTTAAAATTGCTAAAACCATAATGCACCTCAACCAATGGAAAACATTGTAATAGTTTAAGTTTAAGAAGATCAAGAAGAAGGTGTGGTGTCTTGTAAGAAATTATTGCTGTCCTTAATTGAGTCAGATTTAATGTACATGTATAAAGTTTTCATGATTATTTTGAAAATTAAGACTTACCAAATACACACCCAAATTTATAATGAATCTTCCAAATTTATGTAACCACTTATTATCCAAGGAATATTATGCTTATTGAATAATAATAATGTATTTCGCAGGTGGTATATGCGTTTGCGCGCCTATGTATATAGGTGAGGTAGCGGAGACCTCTATCCGCGGCTCGCTAGGCTCTTTCTTCCAACTCTTCCTGACTGTAGGGATCCTGTTCACCTTCGTGGTTGGCGGCTGGACTCATTGGAGGACGCTCTCAATAATATCTGCTGTGTTTCCCGTCTTGCTAATCGCAGTTTTTTGGTTAGTTGTTTGTTATTTGACAAGCTCAGATATTATTGATTTCTTTCTAGGGATAGTTAATCAGAATAAATCTTTTTCTTGCTTTCATGAGATAAACTAACTTGACGGAGTAATAGTATGCAAAAATATCTTTTAATTCTTAGTTCTAAACTTTAAATAGAATTAATAAAGTTTATATTTTTATGTTGGGTGTTATACAAGTCGATTGATTTTTGTAAAATAGTTGAATTTGGCAAATAGTATACATACACAAATACAACACAAAAACTCTATGAGATATTAAAATGAATCAATTAATAATTTTCAGGTGGATGCCGGAGACACCGCAGTACCTTCTCGGTAAAAACCGTCGTCGCGATGCTGAGAGGTCACTCCGCTGGCTGAGAGGACCCTTGGCTGACCTTAGCGGAGAATTGGAAGAAATGCAGAAAGATGTGAGTATAACTATGAAAACCTACTATAGGATACAATAAGACCACAGTTAAACGATCTTTGTAACTATACAGGGTGACTGGTGAATTACTATCAATATTTAAGGAGCATACTCGGTACATGATTCTCATTCGAATTATGTAAAAAAAATAGGTACTTAAATTTTGACCAAATTTCCATATAAATAAATAAAGTGTGTACACGTTCCAAGTGTTCCGAGTGTGGACGCGTGCGGCGGCGTGCTGATACAACAACACGCCGCCACGCGCGAGTGTGTGTGTGTGTATACCTAATCTGTAGGGTGTTCATACGATGATTAATTAATTACATAACTTTTGGTTAACTTTACTTAGAAGTTTATTAATATTTATGTTATATTAATTTTTATTTTGTCATATATGATCATCAAATATCACGTCCTCAAATATCGATAGTAATTCACCAGTCACCCTGTAGAATAAACTGATTAAAAAATGATCTCTTCGATATAAAACTGACACTATGCCATCATGAGCTAAATATTATGAATAAAATGAAAAAATATTGAGAACAAGTTAGTAGAAATCTATATTTCAGATACAACAGTCATGAATCATGCTCATATATGTAGATGTATTTATCTTATTTTAATCAATTCAATTATAAATCCATTTTTTGAACGTACTTCCAAGGCTGCCTTAGTAGGTTCTTTTCAAATTTGGTTGGGTAGGGAGTTTAACTTGGACTGTGGAGGTAAGCGTTTAACGTTAGATAGGGTCCCTTAAACCTACACCTGGGTCACAAGTCACAGTCACTGTTGAAGCTCCTCACTACAACGATGGTCATTGAATGATGATTTTTTGAACGTCTTTTTCATAATTAACTGTGATTTAATTTTTTCTTCCAGGTCGACACAGCGTCTCGTCAAAGTGCCGGCATACTCTCAATGGTCACTAACCGAGCTCCATTGATGGCGCTAATTTGTTCATTGGGCCTCATGTTCTTTCAGCAGTTCAGTGGAATCAACGCGGTCATCTTCTACACCAATAATATCTTCCAATCCGCTGGTTCTAATATTCCACCAGTTATAGCCACAATTATTGTCGGTGTTGTACAAACTATAGCCACTTATATATCATCATTATTAATAGAAAAAGCCGGTAGAAGGATCCTTTTGCTCCAAAGCTGTATAATTATGGGCATCTGTTTGATAGTTTTGGGTACATACTTCAAATTGCAGGAGAGCGGCGCTAATGTTGGAACATTCGGTTGGCTTCCATTGATTTGTTTGGTGCTTTTCATAGTTTCGTTTTCGTTGGGTTTCGGTCCGATACCTTGGATGATGATGTCTGAACTCTTCGCGGTTGAATTCAGAGGAACAGCTTCTGGTATAGCTGTTATAACAAACTGGTGTCTAGTCTTCATAGTGACGCTATGTTTCCCCTTATTAAAAGATATGATAGGTATTTACAGCTGTTTCTGGGTTTTCAGTGGTTTTATGATAATTTGCGTGTTTTTCGTTTTCTTTTTAATACCAGAAACTAAAGGAAAAACAGTATCTCAGATTCAAACTATACTTGGAGGAAAACGCGCGTAATTTCAATACTCGATTTTTTTTGTGAGTTTTTTAAATGATGTACCTAGATATTTTATTTTATTATATATTTTTAATATGATAGATGTGTTCAAATGATTTTTAATTGTGACATATATAATTATTATTATAAATATTTAAGTATGTAGTGTAGTGAAATATGTGATTTTTGTCTAACAATAGTAATTAACAGTGAACAAATGATACGTACTTATATAGTTTTAAGAGTGAAAATGCCAAATATTTATTTTAGAATTAACATTTAGACCACATAATGACAAATATAATAGAATTATTAAGGAACACGTAGTTTTATAGAACAATAATATACTCATTTCACATTTTATATACAATATTATTTAAAACCATGATTTCTATATACAAAATTTAATTTTAATGTCTGTCTGTTAATGTTTAGAGGTAAGGATGAATGTATTTAATGTTATTTACTCCTGTGACAATATTTTTATTATTTGTAGGAGAATGTTGGAATTAAATTTATTTAAAAAAATCACTGTATTTTTATTCCTCGTAGTTTTGTATTAATCCTTATGTATTAATTTATTAGAAAGTATTGTATTAAGGCTATCATTATTGTTTTTATTATATGTAATTTATATGATATTATATTTTTATCAGTCAGTGGTAACCTAGTGGTTAAAGGCCCGCCTTTCATGTTTGAGGGCGCGGGTTTGATCTTGACAAGTACCAATGTGATGTTTCCCAGTCATATGTACTTTCTAAGAGTATTTAGACACCACTGATAGATGAAGGAAAACATCGTGAGGAAACCTGGACTTATAATTTCACAATTATAAGTTTGAAATCGCCAACCCGTTAAGCAAGCGTGGTGATTAATGCTCAAACCTTCTCCATGTGAGGCAGCTCAGCAGTGGGCTCTGATAGGATGATGATTAAGTTATATTAATCTAACTTATAGACTAGCAAATCATTGTCCTGTGACATAAGCCTCTTCTACATTTTCCCACTCTTCTTTATCTATAGCTTTTCTTCCAAAGTTAGCCTCTCCCACTTTTCTTATATCATCCAACCATTTTTTTGCCAGTCTGTCTCTTTTCTTTTACCATACCGTCAATGCCATTCCATTATTATTAGTAAGTTTTACTATATTTTTATTCACACATAAGCGTGTTCACGCGAGTGCTTTAAGCGCTAAGGGTTAAAAATAATATGCATAATTTCATTTCATTGCAACCAGTTTCCTTACTAACTACAATTACTACACCGGTTTCAGACCTGTTCCTACATGTATCAAGTCAATATATAAAAATAGTTAGGTAAGTTTAAGTAAATTCCTTTCTTGTTGCATTTTAAATATAAAGCAACTCTTTAAAGCCATAATAAGTGCAAATTCACTGAATATATTAATTGTTCAATATGAGAAAATGCGGTTTCTAAATTTTATCAGTCAATAATTTTAATTAATTAATTTTTACTTGTATTTGTACATAGCTGATCCATGTTTTTTGCAATTATGTATTATTATTTTTATTATCAACTAATAACTTCAAACTAAATGAAACGGCCATAGACACAGAACAACGTTATATTGGGAAATAATTGTTTAATTTATTTCTAGTTAAAACCAATTTTTGTTTGACTAGTACTTCCAATGCTATTAGTCCAATTATATACTAACATATGTACTTACGAATTTAAAATAAACGTCCATAGAAAGCGTTTATACGAAATATTTAACCAAATAAAATATATATCCAGGTAATTAATATGCAGTTGATGGTTGTATCTATAAAATTATTTTAATTTATATTATTTTTTTTTTGTCAACAATCGTACAACTATCAGTCTTATTGGCATTAGCATTATTGAATTCTACAACTAAATTATGAGCTTAAAGTACTCAGGGTAGGATACACCCGTTGCAAAGACGCAATCAAGGTGATAGACTTCACCTTTTAACAAAGCTACGAAGAGGCGAGTATGAGATATATCTTTCTTCAGTTATAGATGCTGGAACAACGTGTATGAACATATTATATCTCATTTATTTTTATGTAAAAAGTGGCAAACGAGCAGACGGCCTACTAGATGGGCAGTAGTCACCGTCGCCCATGGCCATTCACAGCATAGATGTTACGGGAATGAATAGGAAAAAGGCAACTTCTCACTCAGACATAACGCAGCCACTTTGGCTACTTCAAGAATTATCACTTATATTGAAATATCATGTAGAATTTATTCATAATATTTGACTATTCTTTAATATTTCTGTGTGTTATAAAAGAATTCATGAAGTTATTTCTTTTAATTTCCAATTAACAAACTTTAAATTATCGAGTAATAACTTAATTGCTTAAAATTATGTAGAATACTTTTTTTTATTATAATGGCAATACCCCTGCTGATTCTGATGAAACAAGTACAGATTATGTTTACATTAAAATCATGATGTTGGACTGAATCTTAGATTACACAGCATCCAGAATAAAAAACATTCGAAACGAAAGGGTAAGTATTTAAAAATTATATAGATAAGTAAAAACTTGAAATATTCAATTATTGACAAATATATTTTAGATAATTTTAATATTGTACTTTTTCCCCTTATCATCGTGTATTTTGGTAATGGCAACATTGTTCCAAAAAGCTATTTCCGTATAAATTGGAAAAGATAATAGCACAACGGTTATTATGAGAGCAATAGCTATAATTACTTAATTAAGAGAGTAATAGGTATGTAAATGTAAGGTTTTAGGGAGAAAAATTTTAATTTCTTCTAAATTAGCAAGTATTTTATAAAGTTACAGGTTATTCTTCATTTACGTACCGTACAAAAGTCGAATGATGATTTTTTTAAAAAATATTGCTAATATGAAATCTAAATTATGTCTATATAAAACACATTACAGAGAGTATGATTGCGATTATTAAGAAATTTCAAACAAAAAGTATTCTTTGATAAGCAATTTATTTAGCAACACCTAACATGGATGGTGTAAGCGATGGACATTCCTTACTGATGGTTTTCTTCTCAATACTATCAACTCGAGATGCCAGCTCCATAATTTGTTTCTCAATGGCTTTCACGTCGCTCCTAAAACCAGATACGGTAGCGTCCAATTCGGTAAGATATTGTATTTTATTACAGAGCTCATCATATTTTTGTGAGATGTAATCTCTTGCGTTTTTCGAATCTGTTACCTCTTTGTCGATTTTGTGGAGTATTTCAAATTTTAGTTCATCGAACTTCGACTCCAAAGAAGGTCCATAGAGATTGAACCCTTTCAAGGACATTTCCTGGTCAGCATTGAATTTAGGAAACGCCATTTCATTTAATTTGATGCTTGCACACTCTAAATAAATTTAATTTTTCATATCGGCTGTGCATGATTATAAATTTTAACACGAAATATCAAAAAAGTGAAAAAATCATTTCAACTGTCAATTTTGTTACTTTTTTTATTTATCAGCCAGATTTAAAAACTTTCGTTTATTTTCTTTTTGTTTTTAAATTTTTTATAGTTTGCATAACTTACTATAAGATATATGTACCAAAATATTTTTACTAATAATTATTGCCTAAAAAAAAGAAATATCAATATTTTTTTCTCATATCACTTACACCTTTTAAAATTTCTCAGAATCTTTTTCCTAAAAATGGAAACTATGATATAAAATCTTCATATTTGTCAATTAATAAGTATTATTAACATTAAACATATGTTTATATTATCTGTCAAACTGCTTTTTATTTTAACTTATTAGGATTATTATTAATTTCTTTCTAATTTTGTAATTCTTTCATATTGATACATAAATTACTCCGAAAATAAAGTATACATGACAAATTCTTTTTATAATGATTTTCATAATCTGAATGTGGTACTTCTATTGTTCTTTGGGTACCCGCTCAATGATAAAGATAGTGAAATTTAAATATGTCTATTCTTTTTGAAGTAGTTGTAGCTTGGAGGTTAAAAGCCCGGTTCTCGTGCATGAGGCAAGGGCGCGTGTTCAAAACCTGGCAATTACCAATGTGATTTATCCGAGTTATATGTACTTTCTAAGAGTATTTAGACGCCACTGACAGACGGTGAAGGAAATTTCGTGAAGAAACCTGGACTTATAATTTCACAATTATAAGTTTGAAATCACCAATCCGCATTGAGCAAGCGTGGTGATTAATGCTCAAATATTCTCCATGTGAGAAGAGGCTCAGCAGTGGACTCTGATAGGCTGATGATGATGATGATAATGATCCTTTTTGAAGTGATGAAGACAAGGAATCGTTTCCACACAGTACTCAAGATATATTTCAACAAATAAAAACGTTAGCATTGGCAAAATATTCCACAATTCCAGTGCCAGAAGCCATAGCATAAAAAGGCAAGGCAAAAGTAACCTTATTATTAATTGAAATTAAGTTGATTGTTGAAATAAACAGATAACATTACTATAGATTATTAGATAATATAAAGTTGGTGATAAGATTAAAATGGTTATTATGTTTGAAGGAGAAATTTTTAATTGTAATTATCAGATCTAATGTTTTAAATAATTAATTTTATCATTACCCTATATATTTCCTATTTATTTAAGAAACAACATAATTACATATTTATTTGGAAAACCCATTACGTCTTTGTAATGAATATAATTCTGTAACAATAAAAAAATTCTTACAAGTACATCGACATATCGATTTAAAACATATAATTTTCTTATTATAATATAATGCTTCAGTTCATCTTAAATTAATGTAAACAACATATAAGATCAAAAAGTTCTCGCGAGGATAAAAAACTTGTTTTATAAAGTTAGTAACCATAAATAAGTGAAGATATTTTTATAGCACAACCCTTTCCCTCGAGTTCACTACTTTCTGTTTTACTTTTAACTTTTGACATTATTCATAATGTTTCAGGAATATTTCCTATATTTTACGTGACTTTCGTTCATGCATAATGTAATTTTGATACAAATTAATTTCCTAAACAAAATTCTCTCAGGAATTTACTTATTTTTATGCTATTGCTTCATTTCCACTGGAGTCGTGGAATATATTGACAATGTCTAATTTTATTTGTAGGAAATATAATCTTGAGTACTTTGTGGTTTAAATAGGAATTTAGTTATGTTTCTGGCTTTTTACGTAAATGTTATTTCCTACAGACGCCAAAAATGTTATGTCATGATAATACATCTGTTTGTGAACCAGGATAGAAAAATAATTTAATGATACGAAATATTTCTGATGAAGTCAGTGGTGACCTAGTGGTTAAAAGGCCCGCCTCTCATAAATTAAGGCGCGGGTTCGATCCTGGCAAGTACCAGTGAGTTTTCCGAGTCATATGTACTTTCTGAGAATATTTAGACATCACTGACTAATGCATTCCCAAAAGAAGGTTGATGTCTACGGCGGCCGGTCGTAAAAACAATTAGCCAAAACTATTCACAACATGTAAGGCAGACAATGGCTAAAGCTGGGAAATTGGTAGGTAGAAGAAGATTTCGTATCATAGAAAATAATAAATACAATACAAGACTACAAAACGTTTATAATAACCAAAATTAACTCTAATATTACTCTTTGCTAGCAATTTTTTTATTTTTTCTAGTAAAAACAATGGCACAATACAAACATTTTTATAAAACTACTTAATATAGTGATTCCCGCCCCATATTGGTATGGCAACATAAACAATGAACTTAGCACACATTTTGACTGATCATACTTATAATATCAAAGGATATTGGTATTTCTTTTGCTTCATAAGCAAATTAATATGTAAATTATTGTACTTAGGTGTAGTTTTATAACTAAGTAACTACTATCACATATGAAGTACTACAAGTCATTTATAACGATAATTAACAAAAGTAAACACTTGAAAATGATAACGGCATTGGAAATATTATAAGTTGATGTGAAAAATTATGTGTAATAGCAGTAAAGAAATGATAAGTATACTTACAAAGTTACAAGTTGTAGAGTATTGAAGATATGTCCATAGATTATAAATTACTAGCTCACCGCCCGCAGCTTCGCCCGCGTGGAGTTCGGTTATATCGCGTTTCCAAGAGAACCTTTCAGAAGTCTTCGATAAAAACTATCCTTTGTTCTTTCTCAAGGTCAATTCCATCTCTGTACCAAATTTCATTAAAATCAGTTCAGTGGTTAAGGCGTGAAAGCGTAACAGACAGACAGAGAGAGTTACGTTTGCATTTATAATATTAGTAGGAATATATGTTCTTAGTCGTATGTCCCCTAGATGGAGTAGAAGGCATGCATAGTACGCCACCATCCTTAATTTATTTTAATCCTTACCACGAAACAGAATACAATCCAGTTTATTCCAGATTTATTCATAAATATTGGTACACTATATTATTAACGTGGGTGATTTAATGAGAAACGGTAAATATGCAAGATTTCGTTTTATCAAGTGGTAAGGGTTTTTCAGTAGTTTCCACAATTCCGTGTAACAGTGGCGCCGGTTGTGATACCCTTGAGTGGACAGTCGATAACGTGTTTACGAAATCAAATTAACTTACATATTACTATATGATTCATTATGTAGAAAGATATGGAACAATATTCTATTTGGAAACAAACGAAAATTATTATTATGAGATCAATGCGTAGAAATTACTAAATAAATAGCTGAATGAAAGTTAATTTTTCATATATTATTCATGTTTTTTGTATCAGAGCCCACTGTTGAGCAATTGCCTCTTCTCACATGGAGAAGGTTTGAGCATTAATCACCACGCTTGCTCAAGACGGTTTGGTGAATTTAAACTTATAATTTGAAATTATAAGCCCAGGTTTCTTCACGATGTTTTCCTTCAGCATCTGTCAATGTATCTAAATACTCTTAGAAAGTACATATGACTCGGAAAAATCACATTGGTACTTGCCAGGGTTTAAACCCGCACCCGCATGCACGAGAGGCGGGCATTTAACCTCTAGGCTACTACGACCTTTTGTATATTTAAACAGTAATATCAGATAAATGGGATGAATTCTGGCTAAGATGCGTATAAAATACAATTCTTTCTCATTACGCAGTTGATAAACACACCATATATAATAGATATATTTTTTAGTTGCCCTCGAATTTCTCTTCTCTTCCGATATCCATGAACATTAACTTTAAAACCTTACTCTTCTTTGTTAATAAGTACATAATACCCTTTTTTTTTGTTATTATGTTATCATTAATTAATCCAAATAATATAAAAGTATCGATTGTTTGTATTAATTAACTAACTGTTTTTATATATCGTGTGTATTTTTTGTTTTAGATACATAAAATTCTAAGCATTATCAAAATGCTTAATATTCAATGGTCATCTTTTTCATTTACATAGTTCACTATAGTCTATAGTATTCATATTTTCAGTTCTCATCTTAGTTTAATATCCAAATTAGCGAAATTTCAATTAGCAAACTCTAATAACTCAAGAATAGGTGGTAGAGCCTAGCTGTGGTCAAGTTACTACAGCTCGAACATGTGCTGGCTCGACCGGGGAAGTACCACCCTCTCACAGAAGATCGGCGTTTCGTCCGATGAGTGAGAGAGAGGGTTGCACTTACCCTGTTCTTACTCTTTCCTACTATTTCCTCATTTCCACTCAACATACTTCCCCAAAAACCAAGGTTGGCAACGCAAAAGAGATATCTATTTAAGATGACTATTCCCCTTTCTCATAAAATAATAGAAAATAATAGAATAGCGTCACACTCGCATAATTGTTATTTATCTAATTTTTTATCTCAATGCTAAATCAAAGTATTTTTTTAAATCGTATTTATTGTTGTAATAGAATTATAAGATTTTAAACAGATAATAAAGATAATATATAGTTATCGAAATAAAGTTGATGGAGAATTTTATTTATTACAGTTTATATGATTAGCTTATGTATAATAACTTTATATGGAAGTATAATATACAACTTACTTCCGCAATTATAAGTATATAGGTACTATGAAAATAGGAATATGTACACACACACACACACATATACACACAAGCAAGTGCCCATGCGCACGCACACACACATATATGTACATATATGTGTTGTATATTATTACGTGCGTATTTAATATCCATTTTAAGATATCTACATTTTTTATATCGAATATTGTCACATTATTTCAATACCCATAGAAGATTTATGAAGTTCATATATCGAAAGTAAAAAAAAAAACAATTTAATTTCAAAATAATCAAAATTATAGATTATCGTTACCTGTAATGACATTAACATAACCATAATTATAATATTTGTAAGTTCTTCAAATCAATCTAAAATCTAGA